GTCTTTGAGGTGTGTGTATCGGGAAACAGGAGGAGCGCCGGGCTGGTCTTTGCCGGGCTGGGCTTTGCCAGGCTCTTTGTGCCGTCAGAGCCAGCGTAGCGTCGTAGGTGTTTCTCAAAAGATGGGAGAGCAGCAGTAAGTACTCAGCCTTCCTCAGGAGAGCGTGAGGCATCACCTAGTTGTGCCTTGGGAAACCTGATTCTCTGTCTGCAAAGATCTGGCTCGTACCGGGAGACTTCAGCCAGTTCAGAGGGAGGATTTTCTGGCTGTGGCTAAAGTTTTGGATAGTGGGTGCTGGACCTGCCTTCCGTATTCGGGTGCTGTGCGTGGAGAGCGAAGCTGTGCATGGGCACGCTGCTGGAGGCTCTGCGGGTGGGCTGCCGGTGCCGTGATCGGCGCTGCTCCTTGGACTTGGGAAGCGGGGAGGCTTTTCCAATGATTCCTTGGTCTGTTCACCAGTGAACAACCAAGAAAAGCACCTTTCCTGGCTTGAAAATTGGTCCCTGGTGCTGGCTGAGTCCACGGACGCGAGGAAGCTGTCGGGTGCTGCCGGTGGGCTCAGCTCCGGCAGCAGCAGGCGCGGGGGGCTCGTTTGCGGAGCGGGGTCCTGGCTAAATCAGGGTGGTGCGAGTCTCTGACGTGCCGCCACGCTGCCGGTTCTGCGCCCTCTGCGTGGTGCCACCTTCACGACTTGCTTCTCTTTTTCTTTGTAGCCTCCTCTGGTCCAAGCCATCTTCAACCGCGATATAGAGGAGGTGCGGTCGTTGCTGAATCAGAAGGAGAACATTAATGTATTGGTGAGTGCTGCCCGGCCGTGCGCGCTCCCCTTCCTTCACCCAGCTCTCCCCCGTTTCCTTCCCTGCAGTGCGGTTCTTCAGAGGGGAGGGCAGAGGCTCAGCGGGTGAGATGTGGGTGCCGTCAAGGGGGGGCTTTTTTTTGGCGAGGATGGTCAGAGCTGGGGTTTTGAGACAAAGATTTCTGGATTCTGCTCCTGGCTCGGCCACCATTTGCTGCTCAGCTTTGTCCTATTATCTCAATCTTGCCACCCGTAAGATGGGGCGCGTGGAAGACCGGGACTCCTGTCCCTCCCCAGGAGACGGCGAGAGCCTCCTAAAGCTCTCGGCCGTGCAGAGCATCGCCGGGAGGCTGTGGGCTGTGTGGGAGGACTTTTCACGGAAGCTTGGCTTTGCTGCCACGCCACTTTACCTTTTTCTCCTTTGGGATGGCGACCCAAAATAGTTTGGTGTGGACGCAGCAGGTCTGCCTTGTGAGAAGGTTGTTCCCCAGGGGGGAGGGAGGTTTTGAGCTGCTCAGCAAAGCTGGGTTCACCTCACAAGTGTTAGGAGGGGTTTCCGCCACGCTCCTCTTAAGCCTGATGGCAGAGGGTGGTTTTGATGCTCGTTCTGGAGCAGGCAGGGAGGCCGGGAGAGGCGGCGGCCCGCTGCGATACCTCAC